AGATATAAATGTTAACAAGACTAGAGTTTCTGAATTAAAGTTTTAGTAAACCCCCAAATTATTCTGAATTTTTCTTATGGCTATCTGATAACTTAAAATTTTTATACACAGTGAATAAATTTGAAATTTTAAAAGACACTTCCAGAATTATCAAATTTCTGATTTAGGTTGGTAGATTTATTGCTGTATTCCAAATAATGAAACAAAATTCACAAAGACATTTCAACCTTCCTTGCCGCCTAAAAGGCCAAAGAGTGGGGATGGCACTCATCAGTGTCGATTATTCCCCCAGTGTGTGAACTAGAAATGCAAATGCCTGGACATCTCAGGCATTCAGCCACAACTACAGATGCAATAGAAACGTAACTGGATTCTAAGCCCTATTCAGACCCAACCACCAAAAACTAAGTAAAGGATATCGCTATAATAAAAGCCACAATCACCAATGATTACCAAAGGAATTACCAAAGAAAGGATGTCTTTGAATTTTGTCACCCCAAATCCTTCTAGTCACTACCACAGCTGATCCACTAGAGCTGACAAACTGCATGAGCCATGTATTGGCACCCTCCCTGAAGACCTGATCGTCACTGAGAACCATCGATGGGGATTTGTTTGGGGTGTGACCAGCCTTACATCAAAGTAGGCCCTGTTAGAGAGGATTTTCAAATTATCACCCCTTCTATGAAGCTTTTCTTGATACTCTCTTTCCTCCCCATTGTGTTCCCACAGAAGTTTGTTTATCTGTCTTTAATGGTTGTCCTTGTGATGTGTGATAGTTCACTTGTTGCTGTCAGACTCCTCCACTATAATTATTTATATTTTTATTCCCAGAGACTCATACTATTCCTTTTACGAAGTAGGCACTTGGGAATGGCTTGTTGAACTATAATGAAGGAAAATAACAGCTCCCTTCATTGAGTGCTGACTTTGTGCCAAGCACTGTGCTTAACATAATTCCCTTGTCTCTTAACAGCTGTGTGAGTGTCATCAATCACCTTTTGCACATAAACTTGCTATAAATAACACTGCTAATATGTGGCAGAGCCAATATTTAAATATAAAATCTACCTGGTTCCAAAACCATGCTCTTATTCATTTGCTGGAAGGAGGGAAAGCAAGAAAAGAAAGAAAGGAGGGAGGGAGCAAGGAAAAGAAGAAAAAGAAGGAAGGAGAGAAAGAAGAGTCTTTTTAGGATCTTCACTATAAAGACTCTGAGCAAAAGAAGTTGAGTGTAAAAAAAATCACGGATTTTTTGTTTAATATTTTTTCCTCAAAATTTTTAACTAGGGTTCACTCTTACGTAAGCTACTATACCTCATAAAAGTATTTTCTAGAATACAATGTTTAGTTTCTATATTAACTCCACTATCTAAACTCCACAAAATTCTTAAATTAGTGTTATTTGGTCACATTTTGTTTTTATTCAACCCTTAGGAGCAACGTTAAGTTAATCAGTCCTCCAGTTCACAGATCCTTATTTTCATCAGTTTGTACACGGCCTTTCTCTCATTGTATGTTTTTTCCTCCTGTCATCCCTGGATGCCACCTCTACTGCCTTCCTCTCCCCATGGACCTCACAGTAATGTATTTGAAATATGTCTTTAAATATACATGTGCCTTCAAAATCTATAGATTTTTTTGGTATGTATATGTCTTTAATTTATACGAGTAACATTGCATACAAGCCTCATGCTGTTTCCTACTGTTTTCACTCAGTCCTGGGAATTTTCATCTGGTCCCCCGCTACACAGCATCTCATAGCATGCATCCACCATATTTCCTTCATCCAACTGCGCTGCTCTGACTTCTCACTGCCACAAAGAGCACACACACACACACACACACACACACACACACACACACACGGATGTCCATAAGTTCATGAAAAAAATGAAATTGAAAGATAAAAATAAAAGATATGAACTTTATTCTTTCTCAACATAAGCTCCATCAAGTTCAAGACACTTTTGTAAATAATGATACTAGCCGTTTAGTCCATCGCTAAAGAACTGAGCGTCCTGGGAATGTAACCATGTCAATGCAGTCATTTTTACATTACGAACCAAAGAAAAACAAATGCCCTTTAAAGATTTTTTAAGATTACGAAACAAAAAGAATTCAAAAGGAGGCAAATCAGGACTGTAAGGTGGATGCCTAATGATTTCCCATTGAAACTCTTGCAAAATTGCCCTTGTTGGATGAGCAGGAGCCTGGTGGAAAAGGACTCTCTGGTGAAGCTCTCCGGGACATTTTTCTGCTAAAGCTTTGGCTAACTTTCCAAAACACTCTCATGATAAGCAGATGTTATTGTTCATTGGCACTCCAGAAAGCCAACAAGCAAAATTCCTTGAGCATCCCGAAAAACTGTTGCCATGACCTTTGCTCTTAACCAGTCCACTTTTGCTTTGACTGGACGACTTTGACCTCTTGGTAGCCATTGCTTTTATTGTACTTTGTCTTCAGGATCATACTGGTAAAGCCATATTTCATCACCTGTTCAAATTCTTCAAAGAAATCCTTCAGGACCTTGATCCCACTTGTTTAAAGTTTCCATTGAAAGCTCTGCTCTTGTCTGCAGCTAATCTGGGCACAATAGTTTCGGCACCCATCAAGTCAACTTTAATTTTTCAGTCAGAATTGTGTAAGCCGCACCAATTGAGTTGTCTATGGTGTTGGCTATTATTTCTGCTGTTGATCATCAGTTCTCTTCAATTAGGGCATGAGCAAGATGATTACACATTGATATAGATGATCTGCCACTGCAGGCTTCATCTTCAACATCATCTCATTCCTTCCTAAAATGAGTTATCCATCTGTAAACTGTTGATTTCTTTCAGGCATTGTCCCCATAAACTTTTTGTAAAGTATCAATAATTTTACCATTTTTCCTCCCAAGCTTCACCATAAATTTGATGTTTGTTCTTGCTTCAATTTTAGCAGAATTCATGTTGCTCTGATAGGGCACCTTTTCTATTTTTTTTTTTTTATTTTTAGTCTTTTTTTTCAGTATGTTATGGGGGCACAAATGTTTAGGTTACGTATATTGTCCTTCCTCCCCACTCCCAGTCAGAACCTCAAGTGTGTCCACCCCCCAGACGGTACACACGCATTCATTATGTGTGTATATACCCATCCCCTCCTCCCTCCCATCTGCCTGATGCCCGATGAATGTTATTCCTATATGTACACTTATGTGTTGATCAGTGAAAACCAATTTGATGGTGAGTACATGTGGTGCTTACTTTTCCATTCTTGGGATACTTTACTTAGTAGAATAGATTCCAGTTCTATCCAGGAAAATACAAGATGTGCTATATCACCATTGTTTCTTATAGCTGAATAGTACTCCATGATATACATATATCACATTTTATTAATCCACTCATGTATTGATGGGCACTTGGGTTGTTTCCACATCTTTGCGATTGTGAATTGTGCTGCTATAAACATTTAACTGCAGATGGCTTTTTTATAGAATGTCTTTTGTTCTTTTGGGTAGATGCCCAGTAATGGGATTGCTGGATCAAATGGAAAATCTACTTGTATCTTGTTGAGGTATCTCCATATTGCTTTCCACAGAAGTTGCACTAGTTTGCAGTCCCACTAGCAGTATATGAGTGTTCCTATCTCTCTGTATCCACACCAACATTTATTGTTTTGGGACTTTTTGATAAAGGCCATTCTCACTGGAGATAAGTGATATCTCATTGTGGTTTTGATTTGCATTTCCCTGATGATTAGAGATGTTGAGCATTTTTTCATATGTTTTTTGGCCATTATTCTGTCTTCTTGTGAAAAGTTTCTGTTTATGTCCTTTGCCCACTTTTTGATAGGGTTGTTTGATTTTTTCTTGCTGATTTTCCTGAGTTCTAAATAGATTCTAGTTATCAGCCGTTTATGGGATGTGTAGCATGCAAATATTTTCTCCCATTCTGTAGGTTGTCTGTTTGCTCTCATGATAGTTTCTTTGGCTGTGCAGAAGCTTTTTAATTTGATAAGGTCCCATTTATTTATTTTTGTTGTTGCTGTGATTGCATTTGGGATCTTCTTCATAAATTCTTTGCCAGGCCAATGTCTAGAAGAGTATTTCCAATGTTTTCTTCTAGAATTCTTACAGTTTCACGCCTCAGGTTTAAGTCTGTTACCCACCGTGAGTTGATTTTTATGAGAGGTGAAAAGTGCAGATCTTGTTTCAGTCTTCTACATGTGGCTATCCAGTTTTCCCAGCACCATTTATTGAATAAGGGTTCTTTTCTGATAGGGCCTCTTTTCAAATTGATGTGTGGTAGGTTTTTTGTCCTTCTTAGTGCCTCAAACTAGATCCTGTTCAGACATGTTATAATAAGTTAGTACAAGTTTATTTCAGTGCAAAAAAAATTGAAATCCAAACATGCATAGTTTGTTCATAATATGCATTCTTCATGAACTTTTTGAAGACCCCTCATATGTATACACATATATACATATACCAAAATCTTCAACAATTATCACACTTAGTACAGAAAAATCATTCATCTATTGATAAGACAAGGATGCCCCTTATAATAACTACTCTTTAAATGTAGCTTCTGGCTAAAGGTAAGGAAAGGGGAAAATAAGAATTGAAAAAAATGAGTTAAAACTAAAATGTTCATTATTTCAGACATCTAGTTTCTTGCATGGAAGGGTATGGAAAAGGAAGAAATCAAAGAGGAAATTTGCTTTATGCTAGTTATCTTCAAAGCATCAGAATATCCTCACTGGAATAGAAAAATACCAAGATGTTTGTCACACCAAGATTGTTTTCTAAAATCTTCTGTATTTCTTTAGACAAATGACCATTCATTCTACTAGTGAAGAGTTAAATTTATTTACTAGCTTATAAGATATATATTATAAGGAATATGTAGCAAAGAGATATAAATCCAGTAGTTCCTAGATGATAGTGGGGGATGACAAATACAAATCTAAATGCTCATAAATTCCCTATTCAAATAGCATGTTTTCATATTTTTTAGCTACTCTGAACCTCGTCAATGGACTGCCACATTTGGTGTTTACACAGCATCACCTCTACTGAGAAAAAGAATAAGACGTATTATAATCCATAACAATTATAAATCTGTAAATCATGAAAATGACATTGCTGTTGTGCAACTTGACAGCAGTGTCGACTTTACCAAAAATATCCATACGGTGTGTCTCCCAGAGGCTACCCAGAATATTCTACCTGGTTCTACTGCTTATGTAACAGGATGGGGAGCTCTAGAATATGGCGGTAAGTGTCTCAGGAAAAATAAAACAATTTAACAGTAACAAAATCTCCTGTTATTTGCTATTATGTAATTTATAAAATTAAGAAACACCTACAGGACAGGTTCTACAAACAAAACCATCCTATATTCTGGTCAACTTAAGCTCTGACTAGCCCTGAATTTCCTCAGCAAAGCAAAGCAATGCCCCTAGAAATTATCAGAAATTCTCAAATACAATAACTCTCAAATATAATAATGGGGAAATATAAAAGCAAGTGATAAAGAAACATGAGCTATTTAATAATCTAGAGATTCTATAGGATTCAAATAGCTTCCCTATAAAGAAAAAAAAAGGATTTAGATAGGTATTCTGCAAGGACTTTAACAGCCCTTAAGGTATTAATCACCCTGTAAGATGTTCTGGGATGAAACAAACCCTGCCTCTATGGCAATAAACTCCATGTGTATATAAGCATTGCTCATACTTATTTATGGAATGAGTAAAATGGAAATTAAAATGAGGGCAATGTGAAAGAGCAAATAGAACCAAGGGGAGAATAAGAGTATCTGCCAGGGAGTGTAAGAGTAGCATCGACCATTTCCCTGGGCTTTTACCCATGTTGGAGATCGTTTTTCCAAGGAATAATACAAAGCTTTGCTTGTCCTAGAAAAATGTTTTATTGTGTTATTTTGGCCCAAAGTAATTTGGTGTAATAAATAAAATTTGTGTCAGTCATGGAAAAATAGAATAGTGCCATTTTGAGAGTGCATCAATATAAAATAGATCAATTCTTTAATCTTGAAACCAGACTAGTTTCTCTTTTGCTGCTAGATTAAAGGTTACTCAATATGTAATCTTCCAATCCAAAATCCATCAGTAGATAATTCAATTTTAAGACAGAAAATGTAGTTATTTTCTCTAAAAGTCTAAGGGGCATTGTATCACAAAGCTAAAGAAAAAAAGAAAAAGAAAAAAAAATCTGTGTGAAGGAGTTATGCTTCTTTCTAAATTATGGAAATTTTTTCTGGGAAGAAACTCCTACGTACATTTTTGGGAGCCTTCACTGCTGAATAGGAAATAATGTTTGGAGTACATTTATTCCTTCTCAAATTAATCATAAAGTTATTAATTTACATATCGTGAAGTCTATTTTTTTCTGCTTTTATATTAAACAGGCAACACGGTTACAGATCTAAGGCAAGGACAGGTCAGAATAATAAGTAATGATGTATGCAATGCACCAGCTAGTTATAATGGAGCCGTCTTGTCTGGAATGCTGTGTGCTGGAACATCTCAAGGTAGTATAGTGGATGCATGCCAGGTAAGCTCAAGACAATCTTATCCATATCATCATCCAAGAAGTTTACAAGCACTTACTAGCATGTGATACTGTGATAGGCATAAAAGTAACAGTTATTAATACAATATATAACTCTGATCCTCTAAAAATTTCATTTTACAAATAAAATTCTTTTATGAAGTTGATCTATCATAAAAACACTAATTCTGAGAACCCACATTGCAGAATAGTTAACCATCCAAAGCTCAAGAATCAGAAAGACCTGGTTTGAATTCCTTAATCTCTATAATAATAATAGTACCTAACTTTTTAGGGAATATTAATACTAAAATTAAATGAAGATTAAATATGTCAGGCACATACTAAGCAACAAAGATATCTCATCTATTTCATCATTTTTGTTAATGCAGACTATAGTCACAGCATTAATAACTTAAATCTCAACATTTAAACTGCTAAGAATTAAATATTAATAAAAAATTAAATGTCCATTTGAGTCATAGACAATTGTTGAATTTTAAGATATAAATAATATTTGGAACACCTTAAAGATAGAAAATTTATTCAGAAAGACTAGTTATTTGAATCACAATAGCTCCCACAACAGGAAAACAGCACAAATGGAAAAGAAAATAAGTAACTATTATAGTTGGATCTAATCAGTAACTTTTTAACAGAATATACAAAAGTAAACAATAAATATGAAATTCCAACCTCAAAGTAATTAGAATAAAATTTAAAAATTAAACTTTTAAATTAAATTATCTAAACTTAATTGATGTGGTTATGTCCTCTTTTGGAGGACCACCCTTTTTTTTTTTTATTGATTTTAATAGATTTAGTGGGTACGAGTTGAATTCTGTTACATGTGTATATTGTATAATGGTAGAGTCTGGGCTTTTGATGTACACATCACCCAAATAGTGTACATTGTACCCTATAAGGTAATTTTTCATCCCTAATCCCCACCCAACTCCTCCCTGTGAGTCTCCAATGACCATTATACCACTCTGTGTGCCGTTGTGTACACAGAGCCATAGTTTAAGCTCCCACTTATAAGTGAGAATATGTAGCATTTATTTTTCTGTTCTTGAGTTACTTCATTTAGGATAATTGCTCTCAGTTCCACCCAATGCTGCTGCAAAAGACATTATTTCATTCTTTCTTATCACTCAGTAGTACTCTATGGTGTGTGTGTGTGTGTGTGTGTGTGTGTGTGTATAATGTTTTCTTTATCCACTCTTCAATTGATGGGCACAATTCCATATCTTTGCAATTGTGAATTGTGTTGGGATAAACATACAAGTGTGGGTATCTTTTTGATATAATGATTTCTTTTCCTCTGGGTAGATACCTCGCAGTGGGATTGCAGCATAGGATGGTAGATGTACTTTTAGTTCTTTGATAAATCTCCATACTTATCTCCATAGAGATTGTACTAATTTACATTCCCAACAGTGTACAAATGTTCCCTTTTCACGGCATCTATGCCAGTATCTATTGTTTTTTGACTTTTTAGTAATGGCCGTTCTAATTAGAGTAAGGTGGTATCTTATTGTGGTTTTAATTTGCATTTCTCTGATGACTAATGATGTTGAGCATTTTTCATATGCTTGTTGGTCATTTGTATATCTTCTTTTGAAATGCTTGTTCATGTCAGTTGCCCACTTTTTAACGAGGCTGTTTGTTTTTTTCTCGCTATGTTGTTTGAGGTCCTTGTAGATTCTGGATATTAGTCCTTTGTAGGACACATAATTTGCAAATATTTTCTCTCATTTTGTAGGTTTTCTATTTATGCTGTTTATTATGTGTTTTGCTGTACAAAAGTTTCATTAACTCCCATTTATCTATTTTTGTTTTTATTGCATTTGCTTTTGGGGTCTTAGTCAAAAATTCTTTGCCTAGGCCAACGTCCAGAAGAGTTAGAGATCCATTGATGGACAATTGTTGTGGCCCTTGGGTGGTGTCATATTTCCTTGCTTTTTCATGTTTCCTGTGTCATTCCATTAATATCTGTGAATCTGATGTAGAAATTGCTTTTTCGAGGTTTTTGAAATTGCTTTCAAAGGGGAGAATTTTTCCTAAAGATGTATATGTTGTTGGTTGACTAGGACACTTTGACTTTCATTCTGTGGGTCTGCAGTAGTATGATCTTTGTATGATTTCTTAGACAGTATATACGTCAATGATTGTGATTTTCTTGGCAGCATAGGGAACAGTGATTAGTTGAGGCTGTGGTGAAGTTTTTCTGGGAACTTGAATGGCCGTCCTGCCAGTGTTTGGGCCTCTATGGTGGAAGCAGTGGGTTGAGTATGCCTGATTTTAGGCCCCAGAGCAGCTTATGCTGGTGATGTTAGTGTGTCCTAGGGAGCCCGTTCTTGGGCCTTCAGGTGGCTTGCTCAGAAGCTAGTAGTTGGAGCAGAAGGCCAAGTGTGTATGTGGGTTCTTAGGCCCCTGAGTAGCTGGTGTGTTGTGAGAAGTGGCAATATTGATGGTAGAGCCACCCACTAGGACTCAAGTGGTCCATATTGATGTTACTGGTAGCTGCAATGGATTAGGCAGGCTAGTTCCAGTACCACAGCTGCCTGTAATAGGGTGGTGGGTATTGTCCTAAGTGTCCTCAGGAGAGCTTGGTCTCCCCTGTCCCTGGCTGGGTGGTGGCTGCAACCACATCATCTTGAATTTGGCCTGAGGGTGGGGCACAGCCTAGCATTAAACTGCCAAAACGGAACCAGCTGTGGGCTTACAATCAAAGAGGGCAGGGTCCCTTTCAGGCAAGTGGCATGTGCAAGAAACTGTGGGGAGTGCCATCTTCTTATGTCTTTGTGTCACAGCAGTGCATAGTAGAGAGGCAGGAATTGTCCTAGGTGTGTGTAGGAGAGCTTGGGTTCCCCCGTCCCTTCTCAGGGACTGCAGCTGTGTAAGCCTGAAATGAGCCCAAGTGTAGATTACTGCCACTAGCTTTAAACTCCCAAAATAGTGCATTGGAACTGTGACCAGAGAGGATGGGGTCCTTCTCGGGCAGGCTGCACTGGCAGGAAACTGTGGGGAGTGCAGTTTGCTTGAGACTCAGTCCCACAGCAGCCAGTTGCAGGATGGTGCTCACCAACCCAGATGCGTGCTGGAAAGCCTGGTTTCCCTGCCCCACTCCAGCCAGGCGGGGGCCACAGCCACATCAGCTCAAACTCAGCCTGGAAATGCTGTGGCTCCACCCAGGCAAGCAGTGTGGGCAAGAAACTGTAGAAAATACTGTCTGTTCGAATCTCAACCTCACCTTCAGCCCACAGCAGCATGGTGAGGACTTTCCCCAGGGTATATGGAGCACCTGGGCTGCTCTAACCCCCACCCCCCTTGGAGCCAGGTGGCTGCTGCAGGTGTACCTGCAGTTCCCTCCCCTCCCCACCCCGCAGTATCTAGGCTCTCAGAATGGTGCCAGCTCAAACTGCTCTAGGCTCGGTTGCCTGTGGTATTCCATGTGGGATCCTCTTCTGGAGCAATATTTTTGTGAAGTCTCCAAGCAGCTCCCTATATTAGGCCAAAGACTGGCATGGGTCAGGGGGCTCCTCTTGTAGCCAAGATTGTAAAAGCTCCTCTTAGAGAGTGGAGCGCTGGGGGCTTCTCTCATACTGTTCCCCTGCATTTGGGAGCTTCTCCTGGCTCTTAGCCAGTCCCTGGCTGGGCAAGTGCCCTGGACCTTCACCTTACCCACTTTTGGTGCTTCTCGTCACTTCTCTGGTGAATCCTAGAGTTCTCTCCTAGACGATCTGTTCAAAATGTAAGAATCGGCTTACTATTCTGGTTCCTCTCCATGGATACTATCTGTGTCTAGTTGGCCATCTTGATCCTATCCCTCATTTATATTTTTTTTTTTTTTTTTGAGACAGAGTCTCACTCTGTTGCCCTGGCTAGAGTGAGTGCCGTGGCGTCAGCCTAGCTCACAGCAACCTCAAACTCCTGGGCTCAAGCGATCCTACTGCCTCAGCCTCCTGAGTAGCTGGGACTACAGGCATGTGCCACTAATGCCCGGCTAATTTTTTCTATATATTTTTAGTTGTCCAGATCATTTCTTTCTATTTTTAGTAGAGACGGGGTCTCGCTCTTGCTCAGGCTGGTCTCGAACTCCTGAGCTCAAACAATCCTCCCGCCTCGGCCTCCCAGAGTGCTAGGATTACAGGCGTGAGCCACCGCACCCAGCCCCTCATTTATATTTTGATAGGTTTTATTCGTATGTCTGAAATCCAACCCCATATAGTAATAGGAACAGCTAGTTAGTGTCAGAAATTAAATGTTCTTTTAGCCTGGAGTTTTAAAACATTGATCTATTTTTTTTTTTTTTTGAAGAGTCTGCTGCTATTTTCCTGAGTGAATTGTATCCAGAAAGATAAGTTTTAATTTTTGCATGAAATGTTACTCACTTTCATATTTACTGCTCACATTCTTTAAAAAGTGGATAAGAAGTAGTACTTACAGTTTATGCAAAGACCCCTTCCATGAGCACTTTTTTAAAAATAAAATATTTTTATCAACTGCAATTTGTGTGTAGATGGAAGAGACTTTTTTTTTCAATTTTCAAGATACTGTTAATGACCCATTCAGACCTTTATTTCCCTTAAGTGGCAGTGTCTCAGTGGTAGAGAATGCTTATTGCACCCCTTCCTGTTTCTCTTTTACTGCTAACCCTGTGACAATAAATTGTCAAGTTTCATGATAGTTTCTGAAATAATTCACCAATCAAATAAGAATCACACCTCCATACTGACAATTCCAGACCTACAAAGAGCACTGATTTTCAGCCTCACCGATTTTCAGCTGAAATACTATAATGCATAGTATGTGCCTTAAAAAAAAAGCACTTTACACAAGAGTTTACAAGACCCTACTTATTTCTGTTCATTCTTTTGTTCATTTATGAATTCATTCATTCAAAGAAATTATATTAATTACTTTCTATGCGCCAGACACTATGCTAGGACAGCAATACATTTTTTGCACTCCCCAAGTCTATAGTCTAAAAAGGACAACACAAGTGCAAATGCCTGCAGTCAGGCAGTGAAGCTGGCAAGATATGACAAACATTACATGTCCTTCTTGGTTTAACATTTGGCTGCCCACTCTTGATAAGACATCACGCAAAAAAATTTCTCGCTATAGAAAAATGTCACAGCAAAAACACAGTAATAGGACAGCAGTCAGAACTGGTTAACTGAAGCATGCATGCATCATTTAAAGGAGGCAGGTGCTAATCAGATCCATGCAGTACTTGCCATGACAGTTGGTGATTCACACACTGACCCTTCTCCCCATCTGGACCAGTAATTAGATAGGTATGGAAGAGCTAGCTACTAAAAGCAGTCAAACAAATAGCTGACTATTCTAGAAGCACACTTGGTAGTAATAGCTGACTTTATTAGCGGAATTTTATTAGTATTGACCATATGCCAGATTGTATTCAAGGTGTTTTGTATGTTAAACTCATTTAAACTCATAAAATCATTATTTACAGATGAGGCACAGAGAGCTATTAATTAGCTTACCAAAGATCACATAGCTGTTAAGTGGAGGATTCAAACCCAGACTATCTAGCTCTAGAACTCACAGACTTAACCCATCATGCAGTACATAAGATGTACTAAATTTGTGTCCCCAACTAGATTATTACATGCACAACTATATCTTGGTTGGTTGGTTTATTATTATGATTGGGTGGTAAGTATCTCATCAGGAGTATTTTGCCTATTACCATATTACTTTCTTTTCAATTATTCAGCAAAAGAATACTTTTTGATGATATACTATGCATCAGACACCATGCAGGGTGCTAAGAATAGGAAGATAACTAAGACTGCTAGAAACTCATTCATTCAACAGATATTTCCTTAGCACCTCCTACAGGCTGGACGCTTAGGCTGCAGCAGGGTCCTGAATAGATATGCTCCCTTTCCTGTTGGACTTTATGGTATACCTGGGAAAACAGACCTTAAACAAGTATCATAAGTGCAATGAGTGTTGCAGAGACAAGCAGCTGCTACAACGAGGAGAGCTGAACAGGAGGAGTAAGTTCAAACAGGCACACAAATGTGCTTTTATAAAATCACATATAGAAGTGTCACTTATCTTCCTATCCTTAGCACCCTGCATGATCTGATACATAGTACATCTGATACATAGTACATCATTAGAAATTATTCTTTTGGTGAATAATTGAATATAAATTTATATGGCTATAAGCAAAACACTCCTTATGAGATACTTACCAGTCAATACATAATAATAAACCAACCAACCATGAAATATTTGCACATATAATACTCTAGTTGGGGAAGAAGCAATGGCAGAGACATACACAGGATAACTGTGTCCTCATTTGGAAGCTAATCAAGCCCAAATCTGGAAAGGGTGAGAGTGGAGAGGAAAGAGGTGGGTCAGAGAAGGCTTCTTGAAGGGGGACAGCCAGATGGGTAGGTGGCTATCGGGGTGTGACTGAGGGAAGTCTGGGAAATGTGCTTCTCATCTTCTTCTCAGACTTGCTGTAGGGACGGCCTGTATCACTGGGGGATTTCAGTAATTTTTGCATGACTTGGTATAATATTTCAGAAGGAAACAGGCTGACTTTATTGATATAATGGATGTAACTTCTTCCTCAACTGCCATAAAAATAAACTCCTTAACATTTTGGGCTTGTCTTTGCACTTCAGTAATCAATCACTCTGTTTCCTTCAGGGTGACTCTGGTGGCCCGCTGGTACAAGAAGACTCACGGCGTCTTTGGTTCCTCGTGGGGATAGTAAGCTGGGGAGAGCAGTGCGGTCTGCCAGATAAGCCAGGAGTGTACACTCGAGTGACAGCCTACCGCAACTGGATTGCCCAGCAAACCGGGGTCTAGTGCAATAAACCCATCTCTGTTGCAAAGTCTGTGTGCAGATGTGCCTGTCTAAAATCCCAAAGCTTTATTTTTCAGCTGAAGAAGAAACTGGAAGTGTGCTATTTTAACACCCTGTTACATAAATATAGTTTAACAAACACCATTTAATCTTTATTACTGTAGGTTTTCTGTTTTCTCCAGAAAACTGTATGAATGCTGCATAGTGCTGTGACTGTGTAACAGAAGAAACATAATTAAGCCAACCACAGAGTTAACAATTTTATTACAATTGTGATAACTGCGAGCAGTAAGAAAAACAGGCATATTGAGAGTATATCCTAGAGGAACCTGGACGAGTCTGAAAGGTCACAGGGGTCTTTTCTGAGGAAGCCGATAAGTGAGCCAAGTGTAGAAAATTGCGAAGGAAGAAGTGGTGGAATAGCAGTCAAGACAGAAAGAACAGTGTGAGGCCAGAAAAATACTATTAATTTAAAATTTCTGGTTACTCACTATTTTATAGGTAGTATGAGTTTAAATTAAAGGCGTGAAATCATTGTACAGACCTGCACCAATGTGAATTATCCTGTAAGAACATGCTTCCATAGCAACTAACTGAGGAATTTCAGGTCTTTAAGGTCAAAGCTAAAATAGTTCGCTCCTCAACTGAGACCAAAATAATTATAAATAATTTTTATGATGATGTCTATTACAAATATCCTTCATCTACATAAAGGAGAGACTGTATCTACTCCATACAAAAGCTGAGAAATATACCTATACAACCTTCTCAAGTACCTTGCAGTTTTTAACAACTAAATAATAGTAATGCTAACAACTAAAGATTTGACCATCAGGAAGAATTTCCCGCTACCAACTTCCCACCATTGGCAGTTATTTGTGAGAGTGAAAGGATCTTCACTAGCTAAATCTAAATAAAGAATTGAAAGTTAAAGAGGCAAAAAAAGGGAAGAGTTGGTTTGCAAAGACAAAGGTTAAATAGCTTAATATCAATAAAACTATCCTCAGGAGAGAAGGAACTTTCTCTCTCTTTCTCTCTCTCTCTCTCTCTCACACGCACACACTCCACCAAAGAATATAAATTAAATAAAATCCATTAAAATTTAATGGCGCAGCAATGTGTAATCTGAATCACAATGTTACTGAGTTTTTATGAGCTCCTAGTAGAGCTAAAGCTTAGCTATGCATGATCATCTATGCATCAGGGTTTCCTTCTTCTAAAAGGTAACCCTCTACACCTGTGAATCAGGACAGCTCCACGCACGGTGGTGAAAATTTCTTGCATTTCCTGATGTAAAATTGCTATTTCTTTCAATGGAAAAAAAGTTGAAAATGTAACCAGCTCTTGGTGAAATGTACAAATAAATCTTTGCTATGCTTTATTTCAAATAAATTCTTTTAAAATCATTTTCCTGCTTAATTATTTATGAAAGTTATGATTTCTGAAGGACAATCCAAAACAATGTGTTTAGTTGGCTCCTTGAGGAGAAAACTGCCGACTAGACTCTAAAGGCCTGGAGGTTTCTGCTGCCTTATAATCAGGCTTTATAACTGCACGCTGTGAGGACAACATCAAACTAGTAATTGAGAGTAAGCCTCGAGCGAAAGCTGTCCTTGTGTTTGGGTGTATTTGTGTGTTTGTATGTGTGTGTGTGCGTGTGCCCTCATACAATCACAGACACATTTGTGTTTATTACTATATATTAAAAACTACATTAAAAAGGTATTTATTTCGCAGAAACCGGAGCAAATTCAATTATTTATTGAAAACAACAAAAAGTTATTTAGTAAAATATGCATATTTTATGAAGATACATTTGAAAACTAGAGGAACACTCATTTTAAGAGCTTTTTTTTTTTAATGTACGGATTGGTTCCATTTTCCTGACACCTAACTGATTTCACAAAATAATTTTGAATAATTATGGAGGAGTGGTGAGTTATAAATGCTTTCAGTCCTTAAAAAATAATTCTGGGAACTCAGGAAGAAATTTTCTAGCACCTTAATTCAGCTGTAGAGTTATTAAGACCAGGAAAAATTCTGTTTGGCATATATACTAACCCAGGAGCCCCCAACCTATGGTGAGTTGTATAATTACTTCATTATACATTATAATATAATAATGGAAATAAAGTGCACAATAAATGTAATGCACCTGAATCATCCTGAAACCATGCCCCCCTCCCTGGTCCATGGAAAAATTGTCTTCCAAGAAAATGGTCCCTGGTGCCAAAAAGGTTGGGGACTACTGTGCTAACCAATAAAAAAAGGCATGTATACTAAACCATTTTTAAAAATAGCAAAGTGGATATTTAATATTAAACTTGAGTTTAAAACAGTGGACAGAACTAATGAAAAAAGAATTATTCAAGAAAATTTAGAGCAAACAGTTGACTACTGCACTAATTGGAAGTCTTAATTACTGGGTGTAAATCAGTCATTTAACAAATTTATTGAGTCCTGTTATGTTCTGGGCTCTCTTCTAGGCACTAAAGAAACAAAGATAAATAAGGCATAGTACTTGCCCTTATGTCATTCAGAAAATAGTGGTGTTGACAAACATATGCAATATAACATGATGGATGGAATGATAAAGAGTATGACATTTACTATAGGATAATAAAAGAAGGGGGAAGGTTCTAGAAGACTAATGGAAAATATATTTGTTTTATAAAATTACAAATTCAAAAATGAGTCTTCCATAGCTTTAATTTGCCATGAACCATAATAATTACCCTGTGGTTAGGGAAAAGGAAGCTAAGAACTTCTCAGATTATGAATCTAAATCTTTCATAGGCTCTAACTTACACAATACACTTCCTTTTTGTCCAATTTGCTAAATACGAAATGGTTCAAAGAGACCCCAAATAGTTTTTTCTCTTTATACTTATTATATGTCTACATAATTCAAACATCAAAACTCAGTCCTTTCCATTTCTAAATAATCAGTTTGATTGTTTAGAAATAATAGGATTATTTCCTATGAGGAAACAGGTCATTTCCCCCCATATATCTGGTGATTCTTTCTATTCTTTTTCCTTTTTCTTTTCCTTTTTTTTTTTTTTAATTTAGAGGGGAGTCTCTCTGTGTTGCCCTGGGCTGGAGTACAGTGGCCATTCACAAGCTTAGACATTGCACATTGCAGCCTCGAACTCCTGAGCTCAAGCAATCCTCCTGCTTCAGCCTCCCAAGTAGCTGGGACTACAGTGTGTACCATGGCACCAGGCTTGGTGGTTCATTTCTATAAGAACCAGTTGTCTTCTGAAGGAAGATGTTCTTCTCACTAGAGATTTTTTTTTAATTATGGGAGATTTTTAAACAGAAGCTGGATATTCATCTGCAGAAATGTTTTGGAAGATTTCTGCAATAGGTTGGGCTTAAAATCAGTTCATTTCTGAGGTCCCTTCCCAATCTAAGAGGCTGCCTATAATAAGCAAATAGTTTTGAGGAACATAAGATCTCTGAGAAAAAGAGGAATTGTTGCAGCCCAACCAGGTTCATTGCCCGCTGCTCAAGAGGAAGCCAATACACTGAGACAGCAGGGTTTACAGCAGAGAAGGAGTTTAATATCATAGGTGCCATGACAGGAGATGGGAAGAATTTCTCAAATCTATCTCCCCAAAAATTTGGGAGAAAGGTTTTTAAAGATAGTTCAGCAGGCAAAAGGCTAGGCAATTGGATCTGCTAATTGGCTGGGTTCAGGGCAGATGATAGGGGATTAGAAATTGTCTTCTTTGCTGAGTTGGTTCTTGGGTGGGGGTCACAATACCAGTTAAGTCAGTTCCTCGGTATGGGACACCGGTCTGGGTGGATCATTCGTTCCACCAGAATGCAGGGCCTGGAAGATATCCTAAAAATGAGCTCTTAGGTTACACAAGGCTGATGTTATCTATGAGGAAAGTTAAGAATCTTTATAATCATCAGTTATGTGACTCCTCAGTAGCAATTATAGGAAAGCAAACTAGGGGACAGTGGCTGGTTATTATTATTTTTAGCTATACCTGTGCCTTTGCAAAGTTAGGCCCTTACCACAGTTCTCATTTGCACCCCTTTATTAATTTGTAAAGGGTGGCTTCAGAATTTTGGAGTATTAGAATGTATTTGTTTGTTTAATCCAGTGCACAACCATGTAACAAATCATCTAAAGAAATCAAACCAATCAAAATTTGAATTAAGTAACAATCCATTTTGGAGAAAAAAAGCAACTGAATGAAAGAAATTGAGATAATTCAAAAAGCAAACAGGGCTTTTTCCAGAGCTGACTGTACAGTTAGCCTACCTCCAACCATACGAATGAGACTAAAATTACTAGTGCAATAAAAATCAGCTGATATGTTTGAGTTTTTTCTCTACAAGATTTATCTATCCATTCACCCCTGTTTTTCATCTACTCATTTATTTATTTATCAATTGTTTTTGAGTACTTGCCACGTGCCAGACACTATTTTAAGCTAGTCAAACTGAATTCTAGGAAAGAGCAAGTCAGGCAAAAGAAAAACCAAGTATAAAGGTCCTGAGGTGACTACAAATTTATCAGAGGGTTTGGAGAACAGTAAGGAGCCCATGGGGATGGAGCATAATTAACGGAAAAGCTGGTATTAGGTGAGATTGAAGAAATAGACATGTGGCCACATAAAGAAGTTTCTATTTTATTCTAAACATGAGGGCAAGAGTTTGGAGGAGAATCAGATGGTCAATTTTCCATTTTCTAAAGCTTAACCTGGCTACTCTAGAGAGAAAGAACTATAAGACGACAAGAGTAGAAGGCGGCAGACTAATGAGTAGACCATTGCAGTCATCCAGGAAAAGGATGGCAATGATTTGGATTAAGGAGCTAGCAGTGCAAATTGTGAAAAATAGTTGGATTCAGGGAAATAGCTATAGGGAGAAATAACAGGAATTTCTGATTTATTAGATTTAGGAGCTGAAGGAAAGGGAGAAATCAAAATTGACTCATATTTTGGGCCTGAGGTAGGAAACAATTGAGATAGGAAAATTTGGC